AAATTATAAAAAAAAAAAAGTAAAATCAGTTATGGGAGGAGAGGCCACATCAGATACATGATTTGCAAATATTTTCTCCCATTCTGTAGGTTGCCTTTTCATTTTGTTGATGGTTTCCTTTGCTGTTTAGAAGTTTTTTAGTTTGATGTAGTCCCACTTGTTTATTTTTGCTTTTGTTTCCTTTGCTTTTGTTGTCAAATCCAAAAAATCATTGCCAAGACCGATGTCAAGGAACTTACTGCCTATGTTTTCTTCTAGGAGTTTTATGGTTTCAGTTCTCATGTTCAAGTCTTTGATCCATTTTGAATTAATTTTTGCATATGGTATAAAATAGAGGTTGAGTTTCATTTTTTTGCATGTGGCTATCCAGTTTTCCCCTAACCGTTTATTGAAGGGACTCTCCTTTCCCCATTGTATATTCTTGTCTCTTTTCTCATAAATAAATTGACCATATTTGCATGGATTTATTTCTGGCCTCTCTATTCTGTGTTATTGATCCATGTTTCTGGCTTTATGCCAGTACCCTACTGTTCTGACTGGTATGGCTTTGTGAGAGAGTTTGATATCAGGAAGTATGATGACTCAAGCTTTGTTGTTCTTTCTCAAGAGTGATTTTGCTATTTGGGGTCTTTTGTGGTTCCATACAAATTTTAGGATTTTTTGTCCTATTTCTGTGAAAAATGCCATCGGAATTCTGATAGGGATTGCTGTAGATTGCTTTAGGTGGTACAGACATTTTGACAATATTAGTTCTTCAAATCCATGAGCACAGAATATCTTTCCATTTATTTGTGTCGTCTTCAGTTTCTTTCATCAGTGTCATCAAGTTTTCAGTATACACCAGACCAATTTCATAATGATGACGTTAGCATAATAATGATGCCTTGCTATTTAGTTTTCATATTGATTTCATCAGTATTTTCTTATTCGGTTCTTTCTCTCCATCATGGGACTTTGTATATTTTCTTTTGTCCTAGATTTTTGCAAAATGAACCAAACTTAAGATCTCTAGGAGTTTTTAAGATACACCTTTCTCTAAGTTACATCAAATGTCTTCTAAACTTTATTACTTCTTAATATCCTCTTGTGATGGAGGCTAATGAAAACTCTTCTTGTCTCTGCAGTTGGGCAGGGGTAATAAGATCCTTGTTCAGTGATTCCTCTAAGTTGGGGATTAGTGAATCATTCAGCTGTGTGAGGCCCAGCCTATTAGAAACACTTTGTAAATATTAAATGATGGTGATGGCAGGGCCGTTAATTCTCTCTAGGTCTTCTGCCTCCGATTTCAGTGCTTGTTTCACTGTGTTAATAGTCCCTTAGGTGTTTCAGATCATAATCCTCTTTTGCATCAAGCTAATTATTTTGCCCAGGTTTATATTTTTGCCATGTGTTTAACTATGTTCAGAAGTTTTGTATTAATTGGAGAAATCTTTCTGAATTCTGTTCGCCCAGTGGGCCGACAAAAGAATATTGGATTTTCCCAGATTAAACCCTGCTAGTATTTTTAGCTGTAGTTCCATCTCCCCAATTGTCATCAGTTACAAAGCTATTTTCTTTAGAATGTTCCTAGTATTTGTTATTTATGTAGCAGATCTCCTTCAGTCACATGCCCTTAATCTGCCAGCATCTTTTGGTTCTGAGAAACTTGCAGGAATGGTGGGAAACCTCTAGGTTTCGGGCAGTCTTTGCAATCCCTAGATTATAATGTGGATTGCCATCTTTTTATGCTGTCGAGGAGGCTTATGATGATATTTGGGGGTTGAGAATGATCTTGAAAGATCAATTACTCCGTCGTTTCATGAAAACTAATGAAATTTGATTTAGATGAGGATTATTGACTAGTGTTAAATTTGTGAGGTGAACGGTTGATGGGGAACTGGAAATTTGTAGTGAACCAAAATAACACCACACACACAATTTCCTGGATGCAAGGGGGGAAAACCTGTGTGTGCAGTGGGTGGATCAGATTTCCTCCCCCAAACTCGGTGGTTAATCTTAGCATACTTATGTTGGCTCAGCCATTTATCATCTGTCATTTGATGTGATGTAACATAAAGTTCAGAGCACCATCTATAATGTGTGTTTTAGCCAAAAAATATTTAACTTGACTCCATCGGGCACTTACCTTTTTTAGATTTTTTTAAATCTGATATTTCATGTAAACTAATCTAGAAACAAATACCAGAAGGAAGCAGCCAGACAGAAGATGAGTCTTTCTGCACTCTACTTGTGCTGGTCTCCTCAATAAATCTATGTCATAAAAGAGAGATCGTGCTAGATTCAAAAAGACTTAAGGGACAAACAGTGAGATACAATGCATGCTCTTGAGTTGGATACTGGCTTGAACAAACCAGCTATAAAGGAAATTTTTTGGGTCCACTAGGGAAATATGGGGAAATAGTCTGGGTGTTATGTGAAATGAAGTGTACTGAAATGGAGAATGTTGATGAAAAAATCTGGTTATGAAAAACAAAAGTGTATATAAATGTATACATAGGAAAATGTCTGAAAGTATATATACTAAGGTGTTAGTAGTGGTACTCCCAGGTGATGGGAATGTGGGGTTTTTATTTTTTCTGCTTGTCTCTTCCTCCTAATTTTCTGCAATGCACATGTTCTGTTTCTGTGTTAATAAAAACTTATTAAAAAAAATCTATACTAACCCATCCTGTACAGATGGGTTGTTTTAATATATTTTACAAGTTTTTCTCTTGATAAGGATTTTATGATCTTTGGGATACTTCTTTGAACCATGTCTTTAGAGAGATATGCATGTCTCTTTTTTAAAATTTAATTTTTTATTGTGGAAAATTCAAACACATACAAAAGTAGATAGAATAATATAATGAATTTCCATGTACCCATCATCCAGCTTCAGCAATGATCAGTTATGCCCAGTTTATTTCATCTGTACCCACCATTCCTCTCCACCCATTATTCTGAAGCAAATCTCACATGTCATATCTTTTCATCCATAAATAGTTCAACATTTATTTCTAAAAGATAAGAACGTTTAAAAAAATTACAATACTGGTACCACACAAAACAATAAATAAATAAAATAATAGTATTTCCTTAATATAATCAAATATCCAGTCATTGTTTGCATTTCTGCAGTTGTCTCATAAGTGATTTCCTCTAGGTATGTTGTTTGAATCAGAGTACAAATAAGTTCCTGACATTACAAATGGTTGTGTGTCCATTAAGCTCTTTTAATCTATAGGTTTCTCCCTCCTCCCCCACCATTGTTTCCCTTGCAATTTATTTGTTGAAGAAATAGGCGCTTTATCTTTGTAATTTCTCACATTCTGCGTTTTTCTGCCTGCTCTCTTAAGCTTTTCATGCCTGAGACTGGAAACTCTTCTCTAGAATGCATCTGAGCAGGGTTCCCATTTAAAGCTTATAAAACATATTTATGGGGTATGTTTGTAAAAGCTGTAAATTGAAAGAGTTGATTTACATCCTAAAGTCCTTTGAGTTTAAGACTTACAGCCTTGATTATTTCAATAAGAAATAACTATTGAGGGCCGGCCCTGTGGCTTAGCAGTTAAGTGTGCATGCTCCGCTACTGGCGGCCCGGGTTCGGATCCCGGGCATGCACCGACGCACCGCTTCTCCGGCCATGCTGAGGCCGCGTCCCACATACGGCAACTAGAAGGATGTGCAACTATGACATACAACCATCTACTGGTGCTTTGGGGTAAAAAAGGAGGAGGATTGGCAATAGATATTAGCTCAGAGCCGGTCTTCCTTGGCAAAAAGAGGAGGATTAGCATGGATGTTAGCTCAGGGCTGATGTTCCTCACAAAAACAAAACAAAACAAAAAAGAAACAACTATTGAAATAGGACACACTTGGGGAGACTTTAGAGATACCAGTTACACAAATTTTTAGGTAGGAACTTGCCAGATTTCCTTTTCAAAACTTAATGAAAAGTTTACTCTGAAAGTGCACTCTGGTATAATGGGGTTCTCTTGAAATATTGTTTAATATCCTCATAAAGCTTAGTCTATAAATGTACTTTTATCATGATACCTATGTACTATTTTTTTGTTGTATTTACTGCTAAGCTGGTAAGGTCTAGATTTCCACTGCCTGCTTATTGATTTGTCTCTAATCATTGCAGGTTGAAGATGACAGTGATGCAGAGACCTATGGAGAAGAGAATGATGAACAGGAAAATTATTCTAAAAGAAAGATAGTCTCTAACTGGGATCGATATCAAGATATTGAAAAAGAGGTCAATAACGAAAGTGGAGAATCACAGAGGGGGACGGATTTCAGTGTTCTCCTCAGCTCTGCAGGTATGAATTCCAGTTGCATGGAAACCAGTGCTGTGAAAGTTGCATAGACACTTTATTTATGTTCCTTTTTAAATGGTATTTTAATAACTAGAAATTCATCATTTGTTCTTTGGATTTTAAATTCAAGTAAAGGACAGTGTGTCTAATGGTTTGCAAGGGAAAAATGACATTTCCTTAAGTGGAAGTCAGGGTTTCCATGTATTGATGTAAAATGACTTAAGTCCTGGTGGAAATGGATAAAAAGCTTTATAGAAATGAAAAATTCTGAACTATGCCCATCTAAATTGGATAGTCTGAGAAACAGAAGTGTTTTCTTTGATTTCAGAGGAATCAGTACTTATGTTTATACAAAGCTTTATAAAGTTTCTAGAATATATGTTCTTTTTTCCTTCTTTTATAGCCAAGAATATGCATATTAGTGGATATGCACATATTACAGCCAAATGCACCTGAACACCAAAACTTTTCTCTTTTGCTTTTGGATGGTCTTCTCTATTAATAAGGTGAAAAACTCACTCCTTCTATGACCAGCTGTTTCTTAAGGCAGACTCCACCTGGAGTGATGTGCAGCAGTGTGAGTCTGGAGAGTAGTCACTGGAAATAGTGGAGCAGGGCTGGTTGTATAGATGGCTTCTCTCTACTAGAGTGCAGCATAAGAATTTAGAGGATGCATAGAGGTTAGACTAGTGGTTTTCAGGAGTTAGGGGTGGGAGCGTGGGAGGTGGATGTGGTTGTAAAAGGGCAACATGAGGGATCCTTGCGGTGCTGGAACTGTTCGATATTTTGACTGTGGTGGTGGATACAAAATCCTACACAAGTAAGAAAATTGTGTGGAACTTACAGACAAATGAGTGCAAATAAAACTGGGTAAATCTGAATAAGACTAGTGGATTGTATCAGTGTCAATATGTCAATATCTTGGTTGTGATATTATACTATAGTTTTGCAAAATGTTATCATTGGGGGAAACTGGGCCAAGTGTATGAGATTTCTCTGTAGTATTTCTTACAACTGTATGTGAATATACAATTATCTCAATAAAAAAAAATATTACCAGGTTAAAAAAAAATTAAAGGATGAAGATGTGAGAAGCAGAGAAATAAAATGAGAATAATATTTTCGGACAGTTTGTGTTGAATTCCCTCTTCCCCCCAACTTTTATGTTGCTGTTGAGTTCTTTCTTTCTTTTTTCTCATCTACCTCCATTTTTGAATGCCTATACCAGATTACAAATCATAAAGTGATGAATTCTCTTCCAACTTACTAGAATAAAGTCTTTGAGTAGGAAAGAAAGAGGCGAGTGGAGAGAGTATCAAGAGTGTGAGTCAGAAGAGCAGATCCAGGCTGGGGTCATTATGTTCTATGCTATACATAGTGTAACCCCATTAAGTAGAGGTTTGCTGATGGCATCAACTCACTGACTAGAGACTGGTAACTCATCTTTTGCCAGTCAGATGAATATTCCCCTCTTGTTACCTGCATTTTGGCCAATTATGGGTTTTTAAGCACTTTTCTTCAAGGTAGGAGAAAGGTCAAATGTGGGCTGGTTAGTTTACATTTGTATCAGCTGTTTTGCTTAAAGATTTCTGGGGGCGGCGGGTGGGGGTTGGAATTGAAGTAGTGCAATAAAATTAGCATGTGGACTACCAGTGGATTTAATTGAATCAATAGTGTAGTCAGTTACTAGGACAGTATCTGGCAATAAAAGATACTGCATAAGTGTTTGAAGGTGATTCAAAATTCTAGTCTAACCCAACAGTTATGCGCATTGCTTATGATTTTGGTTGTTTTAGCATTTTATTTATAACTTAAAACCTGGCATGGTTTGAGTCTTATATATATGTTTCTTGTAGTCTGTCTTTGTTTGCTGATTTCTTAAGTGGCTTATTTATCTGTGATTGGTTTTTTGGGAGATTGCAATTGTCACATCTTTTAATATGTGCTTACATTTCTTCCCCACTCAGCTGCTGATGTATCATTTTCTTTTCACTATAGCATAAGCCCGAGAAGAGCTATGGTACTTTCTTCATATATATTGGAGTAGGGCTGTATTGGTTCACTTTTGAGAGGTGGAGTTTGTTGTGTGATCATAAAATATTAAGAATATCCTCTAGATAGGCTGACCATACTCCTTGGAATGATACTGATTTTTAGTATACTGTCCTTGTTTGTGTAAATAAATACACAACCCAGAAAAAATATCACTAGTTTGTTAGGCGTGCACATCATAAACGTTTCTAGATATTGCCAAATTGCTCTCCAAAGTGGAGATGAGCTAGAATTCCTGGTGTTCACCATCTTTGCCACTACGTAGTCCTGTTGGACTTTTTAATTGTGGCCAATTGATTGAATGGTATCTAGCTCGCTTCATTCAACAATTATTTGAGCGCCCACTAATTTCCAGGTACTGTTTTAGAGGCTGAGCTTATGGCAGGGAACAGAACAGACAAAAACACCTGCCTCATGGAGTTGACATTCTAGAGGGTGGAGACACACGATAAAAAAAGAAAAGGAAAGTGTATAAGATGTTAAATGGTGATAATTGCTTAGGATAGAAATAAAGTGGGGAGGGGCTGTTACAGTTTTAGAAAGGGTGACCAGAGAAGCTCTAACTGAGCAGGTGAGATTTGAATAAAGACCTGAGGAAGGGCCAGCCTAGTGATTAAGTTCGGCATGCTCCACTTAGTTGACCTGGGTTCGGTTCCTGGGTGTGGACCTACACCACTCATCTGTCAATGGCCATGCTGTGATGGTGGCTCACATACAAAAAGAGGAAGATTGCAACAGACATTAGCTCAGGGCAAACCTTCCTCAGCAAAAAAAAAAAAAGAGGAAGGTGTGAGGAAGCAAGCATTGAGGATATCTGTGGGAAGAATATTCCAGACAAGGGAATAGCAAGTTCAAGGGCTTTGAGGTAGGAATGTAGGGAATAGCAAGGAAGGCCAGCATGGCTGGAGCAAAGTGAGCAAGTAGGTGATAAGATCAGAGAGGCATTATGTGGCCAGATCACATGGAGACTTGTAAACTGTGGCAAAGATGTTGGCTTTTACTCTGAGATGAGCCACCACCAGAGGGTTTTAAAGAGAAGAGTGATATAGCTAACTCATGTTTGACAGGATCCCTCTGGCTGCTGTGTTGGAATGAACTGAAGACAGGTGCAGGAGGGAGCAGGTGGGAGGCTATTGCAGTAATCCAGACAGGCAATGATGGTGGCTGTGGTTGGGGTGGTAGCAGTGGAGGTGGTGAAACATGGTTGGGTTCTGGATCTATTTTGAGGGAAGAGCATATAGGACCTAGAAATGTGGGGTGGAGATAAAAAGATTATAAGGATGATGCCCGAGTTTTGCCCTGAACAGCTAGAAGGGAGTTGCCATTAATTGAGATGGGTAAAACTATAGGAGGTGCTCGGTTTTGCATGTGTGAAAATTGAGATGCTAGTTAGACATCTGTATTAGAGTTCCTGCAGGAAATAGATGGCACACCTGATATAATTAGAAGGAAGTTTTAACAAAGGAATCATTTACAAAGATATGGGTGGGACACAGTGAAAGCACAGAGATAGTGCTGTATTGGGAGGGCAGGTAATGGCAGAGATGTTACCACCTCGGGTTACTGAAACTCGCAAGGAGAGCTTCATGTAGAAAAATTTACCTTGAGAGGATGAATCGTCTTTGGTCAAGAGATCTAGCCAGTGAAGGTGACTCTACAGGGAGAGAGAAAGGGGAATAAATACTCTGGTCTTACACTCTTTTTCTCCTCCATTCTCCCGCCAGGGCTTCCCATAAGCCTAACCTACTGGGGGCCAGAAGGCAAGGGAAGCCTGTTGCTGTCATCCATATACATGGATACAGGGCTATGACATCCATATTCATGTCAACCTCCCAGGGCAGAACAGGGAGGAGAAAGATGGAGGGTGAATCTGGAGTGGCAAGTGGAAGAGACCCAGTACACATCCCACAGGAAATATCAAGCAGGCTGTTGGATAAAGGCACCTGGGGTTCAGGATCCAGGTCCAGATTGGAGATACACATTTGGGTGATGCCAGCCACATTTAATGTTATGAGATTGCATGAGATGACCAAGGGAGTTAATAGCTAGAAAAGTACTGATCCATGGACACCACAGTGTCTAGAGTTTAGGGAGATGAGAATAAACTGGCAAAGGAGACTGAGCATGAGTGGCAGGAGGAAAAACTAAGAAACTGTGGTGTCTTCAAGTGTTTCCGGGAAGGAGGAGGGATCTGTGTCAAACGCCGCTGATGACAACCAAGAATTGACAGTTGAATTTAACAACATGAGGTTGCTAGTGATATTGACAAGAGCAGTTTTGTTGGAGTGGTAGGATAAGTTCTTTCTTGGATTTGAAAAGAATATGAGAGGAGAGACATTTGAGGCAGCAAGTGTAAACAACTCTTAATTTTAAGGAGTTTTGTTATAAAGGGAAGGGGAGTAATGGACTGGTGGGGGAAGTAGGTCAAGACATGTTTTTTAAAGATGGGAGAAGTAACAGCATGTTTATTGTTGATAGAATGATCCAGAAAAGAGGGCAAAAATAATATGAGGAGAGATGAGAATTGCTAGATTTACGTTGTCTGGTACACGTAAGGTGATGGAATCTATTGTACAGGTGGAGGGAGTACCCATTGCTAGAGGCTTGGACAGTTGTTCAGTTGTAGTTGGAGGAAAGGCAGAACCTATGGGTGTGGATATAGGTAGGTGGGTAGATGCAATAGAGGCTTGAGGAAATTCTCTTCTAACTGCTTCTATTTTCTTAGTGAAATAAGAAAGTTGTGAGTGGGAGTCAAGGAGGAGGTACTGCAAGTATGAAAAAGTAGAAGGTAAGAAATAGTTGTTTAGCGAGTGGAAGAATGAATGAAATAGGAAAATATGGTATGGTTGCTGGGTGGTAATAGAGGCCCATTGGAGGTTGGTGTTCATGAATTTAAGGTGAGAAGAGGTGTGTTTTCCCTTTCTGCTGTATGGTGGTATAGAGGAATGGAGAGTAGGATTAAATCATGATTATGGTTTAGCCAAGCAAATGCAATGAAGTGAGAAATGGAAAAGAGGGTGATTAGAATGAGTGACACTGAATTTAAGCTGGATAAAGAGGGCAGTGCAGGCATGAGAGAGGTGAGGGGCAAAGAAAAGGAAGTGGGATTGACAGACTATAGGTTCCTCTGTGCAGAAGGATTGTTGACCTCCTTAGTGGAGTGTGAGTGGGAAAGGTAGCAAGTGATGGCTGTAGAGTAGAATGTTTGATGTTGAGATTTGGTGGGGGCAGGGATTGTAGATGATGATGGTGATGTATTCTAGTGTACAAACATGACAGTGACTGGCTCTGAGCTAGTGTGGAGGACTTGGTCATTGGAATTTTCATTTGTGTTTCCTTAGTTAACTGTTGAGGTTGAGCATCTTTATTTGCCGTGCGTGCTTGCTTGCTTCTCTGTGAACTACCTGCACAAATTCTTTGGCCATTTGGCTTGTTTCTTATCGACTTATCAATATTTTTAATCTTAATACTTACTTATCTTTTGATGTTTATATTTGCAAATTTCTTCTTCTAACATGAGAGTGACTTCTACTTTTGTAATGATGTCTTTTGGTGCATAGTTTTAAATTTTAATGTACTTGAATTTATCAATTTTCTATCTTACAGTTTATGCTGTTTTATGCCTTGTTTGAGAAATCCGTCTTTCCCTCAAGATCACAAAGGTGTTCTCTTATATTTTCACCTAAAAGTTCAAATTTTACCTTGTTTTCTGAAGTGTGTTAAATTTTATTGGTTGCTACATTCTTTCACAACCATTTTATTTTTTTAAACCACTTTATTGAGGTATGAGTGACATGTAAAAAGCTGTACATATTTAATATAACGTGATGAGTTTGGGGATAAGTTTTCACCTGTGAAACCATCACCACCATCAAGGCTGCCATAGACATATCCATCACTTCCCGAAGTTTCCTCCTGCCCCCTTTATTATTACTATTATTTTTTTTATTGAGGTATAATTGACATATTAGTTTCAGGTATACAATATAATGGTTCGATATTTATGTATATTGTGAAATGATCACTACAATAAGTCTAGTTAACATTCGTCACCACACATAGTTACAGAATTTTTTGTCTTGTGATTAGAACTTTTAAGATCTACTCTCTTAGCAACTTTCAAGTATGCAATACAGTATTATTAACTATAGTCACCATGCTGTACATTACACCCCCATGACTTATTTATTTTATAAGTGGAAGTTTGTACCTTGTGACTCCCTTCGCCCATTTCGTCCATCCCTCACCTCTTGCCTCTGGCAACCACCAGTCTGTTCTCTGTATCTATGAGCTTGGTTTTCCACTCTCTTTATTATTATCATTTTGTATGTGTGTGTGATAAGACCATTTAACATAAGATCTACCCTCTTAGCAAATTTTAAGCACGCAGTATGGTATTGTTAGCTATAGGCACTATGCTGTGTGGTAGATTTCTAGAACTTATTTATCTTGTATAGCTGAAACTTTCACAACCATTTTAGATTAGTGGAGTGAGGTGACATAATTACTCTACCTTGCATTTTAGTCTTCTGAAGAGTATATAACCTTTTTGCTTCCATTTTCTATTTTCTTTTAGTGTATAATTTCTTTACTAACTACCAAATTAAGCAAAATTAGAAATAACTTACCAACATTGAAATTTTGATTAGACATTTAGGTTTGGCTTATGCTGTTATAGTCTTTCCTTTGTCAGTGTGGTTTAATTTAAGGCGCACGAGGGCCGGCCCCGTGGCTTAGCGGTTAAGTGTACGCGCTCTGCTGCTGGTGGCCCGGGGTTCGGATCCCGGGCTCGCACCGACGTGCTGCTTCTCCGGCCATGCTGAGGCCGCGTCCCACATACAGCAACTAGAAGGATGTGCAGCTATGACACACAACTATCTACTGGGGCTTTGGGGGAAAAAATAAATAAATAAAATTAAAAAAAAAAAAAATTTAAGGCGCACGGGCCTCTGACTAGAACAGATCTGGATTTGAATACTATCCTGTCATGTTTCTGTCTAACCTTAGGCAATACAATACTACTCCTCTCAGTAGGAAATGCAAGAATACAAAGGAGTAACAGTGCTGGATAACTCAGCATCTTATCCCAAATTTGCTACACATTTTACTTCTCAATATATAACTATGGTGCCTAGATTTAGTATTTATCTGAAATTTGTTGATAGAAGCTTAATTAGCTGTATTCAGTAAAGTCAAAGTCTAATTTCTTTTTTTTTTCTTGAATGTTACACATAATAGCAATGGTTGCCAATAGGATTTATATATCTTCATTTTTCTGAGAAATTAAAAGTTCTTCTTGGGTATAACTGATTATTGAGTCTATTTATTGAATAACCAGTGGTGATAGTCTGAGTCTCTGAGCATTTAAAAGTTGATGGTCTTAGGTTAAGTCATAAAATTAAATTTTTCCCCCTTTCCCCTACTTTTCTACCTGTAGTTGTTCATTGTTGTTCTCCCTCATCTCTGTGTCTGCGACGTGCCCTGGAGGATGGCCATTGTGGTCACTGCAATGGATGATAGGCTTGGTTTCTCAGACAAGGGCCCTATGCTTTGGATTGTTCTTTATACATTATTTTTTATTCCAGAATTAGCTGTGCTGTGCATACACCTCTGGTCCAATTCTCAAATGCCATTTTGAAGACAGACCTTTTGCTAAGAGTATATCTAGCTGAGTGTGTTGTTATTGTCCTAGTAGGATTTCGACTGTAACAGTGAATTTTTGCAGAAGGGTAATTAATTCAAAGAGTGAATTTCTGTCTCACACACAGTTGATGTGTATGTATGTTGGTATATTCACTTTGGAAGATAGTTTCTAAGTTTCTAGTGAAGTTGAAGATCTGGCACTTGCACCTTTGGAAGATACTCTAGAGAAACTGTATCACATGTGCTCCAGGAGACGTGCACAAATGTTTGTAGCAGTATTGTTCAGAAGAGCCACAGTGGAAGCAACTCAAGTGTCCATTACTAAGGGAATGAATAAGTAGATGGATATAGATAAGTAGATGAATCTCTCAAGCATAACGTGAAGTAAAGGAAACACTACATACCCACAAAATATCTCAGTACAGTTCTGTTTATGTAAAGTTTAAACACGAGAAAAAGTAAACTGTGTTATTTAGGGATGCGTATTTAAATGGTAAATGAAAATCAAGGAAATAGTTATTACAAAAATCAGGATTGTGGTCACCTCTAGTGGAGAGATGAGGGGTACTGACTGAGGAGGGGCACATAGCCGGTGGGGGTGGGGAGACTTCTGTGATGTTGGCAGTATTCTATTTCTTGACCTGGAGGATGGTTACTTAGGTTTGTTTAATAATTATTCTTTAAACTGTGTATTTCTATTACCTAGTCTTATTTTACATCTCTCTCTATACAAGGAAAAAAAGTTTAACAATGGATTTCTCAGAATTTAGTGGAATTTCAGTTACTACCGTGGACCGTGGGAGACGTTGTTGGAGAGGTGTCCATTGCAGCCAGCGTCAACTGGTGCCTTCAACGCGCAGGTGCTGCCTGCTTTGCATTTCTGGCCGTGGGCAGTGGCATCTCGTTTTTATAAGTGGAGGATATGGGAACGGGACTAGTTTGTTTGAAGTCATACCTTTTCTGGTAGGATTGGGAGTCTTCAGCCTTCTGTTTAGTACTCTCTCTAAACCTTCAGCTTACAGATAATCATGCTTTTGGCTTTTCTTTTTGAGCAATATTCTTGCAGTTCTAAGTTATGTTTCATGAGCTTTGAGAATGGTACCATACTCTCACATTCAGGCATAAAACGTTAGATCTTTAAGCAATTTTTCTGCCTCCTACTTTTTTTCCCCGATGATGAGTCATTGAATTCATGCCATATGCTTTATCTCTTCCTTTCAAGATGTCACAGATAACCAGAGTTAGAAAAATGTTTAGAGTATGAGCACAATGCACTGGAGCAATATTGAAGATAAACATGGGAAAGAAAATCTTTTATGTGCAAGTCTATAAGCTCTGTTTATTTTAAGTGGAACAAATAAAAATGAAATGATTAGACTACAGTTTGGTCAGCATAGTTGTCTAGGTATATTTTCATTTAAAGCTATTATATATCTTCTTTACTGTAATTTTAAGAAAAGTTAATTTTAGGGGGTAGATTTTGATTATAATGATATTTGATTTGTTTCCCTCTATATCCTTTTGTCAGCAATTACACTGAAAGGGAAAAGAAAGCATATCATTCTAGCATCCTCTACTTTTTAATTAAACTTTGAACCTTTTCTTCCCATGAAGCAGCAGGTCCCTTGTATTGCCCTCACTGATTGAGTTCATTTTTTTCTTTTTTTATATGGTATTATTTTATTAGTTGTTACTAATATATTTTCATATTACAAAGGTAATTTAGTGGAAGAACCTTCCCTTTGATATCTGAGTCATTTGAAATAACACAAATAGAATTATACATTAAAAAATCTTTATTTGGGTAACAACAAAAAAAGACAAGTTAAAACTACACAAAAAAAATCTTTCTTTTTTATAGCTTGACAAAGAAGTGAGCCTAAGTTGATTTTCTTTTTTCAAATCTCCAAATAGAAAAGCAGCCAAATACCTGGAAATTTGTTTGCTAACCCGCTGGTCTCCCGCAGCATGGTTGATGCAGGTTCTTCTTTGTCTGTTTCTCCTGGTCCAGCTGCATCATTTTCATCCTGTTCATCATCACTATCAACTTTCATTTTCCTGCCCCAAAACTGTACTTTTCCTCTAACAGACCCAGCTTGGGCAGCTTTAATTCCTTTTCCTTTAAATCTGTGACCTTTTGATTTCCATTTGTTTAGAGATTCTTGTTGATCCTCCATGAATTTTTTCAGTTCTGCTCTTTCTACCTCTCCTAGTACTTCCCACATCTCGTCTTTGTTCCTTGGTTGTAGGTTACCATTACTGGCTTCTTTGGCTTTACCTAGCTTCTATCTGCTTCTTTAACTTTTCTTTAAATAGAATTATTTCCCCTTTTGCTCCTCTGGTAAAGTCTATCCATTTTATTTCCCCACGATTTGAGAAAAGGAAGTGTGGCTCTTCTCTACAGGTCTGATCATCTCAGTCATTCAAAAATTTCAGCAAACATCCAATCTTTTCTTCTAGAGATTTCATTTCAGCATGTATAGCACTTCTGTTTTTCTTCGTGTTCTTGTTTAGCTCTCAATTTAGCTTACACTTTCTTTTTCTTTTTTCTTTTGCAAGGTAATCTTCCTTGAAAAGTATTAGATGGTCTGTGTCTTTATGCTTCTGGTCGGGGAGTTTCTATAAACTTTTTAGCAAGATCAGACACTGCAAATATTGATCCCTTAAATGCTTTGTGTAATGTGTTTCTCATTTGAATATTTTGTGCTTGACCTTTATCTTCTAATCTTTCTTTTATGTCACCAAGGGTTGCACCAGTTGGGAAGCCTTTCATATAAATGGATCTGTTTTTACATCACTTTTTTACTCATCAGTCGTCAGAAACATTTTATTTATCAGGGAGAAGTTTGCATGGAAATCTTCTGCATTTAGCTTTATCTTCATTTATTTCCATGAGTTCTTTGATTTGCTCAATGCTTCTATTATATTAAAGTCTATTGTCAAGCAGTTCAACCTGTTGAATTTTATTATTATCTCCAGAGGTACCCAGCTTTCATCCAGTTTGATCTGTTTCTTTAAAAATTTGTCTCATGGCAAATTAAAGTCACTAAAATACTACTTGATTTGGTGACAGATTTTGGTCCCAGACTAGCCCTTTTTTCACTCTCACCATTTTCGGCTTTTGTGGTTTTCTTTCTGGTCCTAGTCCCCCAGAGCTGAGCCATAGGATCACTAGCAATAACCTCCATGTCTCAAGTTCATTTTAAGAACTGAATCTTTATTTAGATTATTAGATAATTTAGAGTGTTCTTATTAGAAATATTGTAATGAGAGCACATTAGTGAATCTTTTTGGATTTGACTTGTATTCCAGATACTATTCTGGTTGATAAATGTCTGACTATCTGCGTCATCAAGTTGGCGTGCTGCATTCTAATAGCATCTAGCATATTCCTCTCAACTGCTGCTGTCTCCTCTCTCAGTCTGTTTATTCTTATGGACTCATGCTTCTCTTTAAAAAATTTACCATAATTTTAAGGAGGGTTTTGGGAAGCAGAGCAAATAAATACTTATGATCAACATCATATTTAAGTGGGCGTTGATAAGTTCTCTTTACTTGCTCTAGAAAGAGTGAATAAAAAGAGTTCTATTGGCAAAGCCTTTAATGAGGGTCAGTGTAGAACCTGTTCTAATATAAAAAGCATGAAACACATGAATTCAAAGGCTGTGAGAAGGGCCACTGTAAACTTAGGATTGTGATAGCAAAGTCATATGTTTCCATAAGTGTAACTGAAGTGTAGTATATGTACTTTGGTGGTAGAATGGAAGGAGCACTTGATTGATGGAGGTCAGTTGATCTGAGTCCTGGTTCTAGTTGTTGCTTATTAGCTACATGCCCTTGAGGGAGTGAAACTCTTGGAACCTCCTTTAACCTTGAATTAGAAATAATACCTGCTTTACTTTAATCCAGGGTGGTTGTGAGGATCATGAAGAATCATTTTAAAAATTATAAAGTGCTGGGGCCAACCTGGTGGGCAAGCGGTTAAGTGCGCGCGCTCTACTGCGGCGGCCCGGGGTTCGTCTGTTCCGATCCGGGGCCGCGCCCCGACGCGCTGTTTAGCAAGCCGTGCTGTGGCGGCGTCGCATATAAAGTGGAGGAAGATGGGCATGGATGTTAGCCCAGGGCCAGTCTTCCTCAGCAACAAAGAGGAGGTTTGGCAGATGTTAGCACAGGGCTGATCTCCTCACACACACACACACACACACAAAAATTATAAAGTGCTATACAAAAGTCAAGAATTATTATAGACAAAGAAAAGCAAACTATTGGGGTAGAATATACTGTGTAAGTGTGATGGGGGGAGAAAAGCTAATTGTCATATTTGAAATCAGGCCATTACCAGGGGGTTGTCATTAATATATCCAAGCATAGTACTGACATGTATAATTAGATATAAAAAACAATGACCATTAGCTCATTTTCTCTTTTATTTAGCTTCTTTTGTGGGATTTGTTGACCTCTTTCAATCTCTACAGCTACAGAGGTGACACAGGGAACATGAAAAAATGGGAAGAATAGATGTGTGGTGACAGGATTTTGATGCTAAGGGAAAGAAGTCTGAGAAGTCATTTAATAATTATGTCATATGTGTTCTAAGCCCTGAAGAAAAAGGAGGAAACTGAAATGTGCTTACCCAAATGCAGAGGATTTAGATTAGATATTTGTGTGCGTTTTGTACATGAGATGTTAACTAGGCATCTAAGAGAGAATTGGGGTTGATTGGAAATCTTGCAAAATGCATTTGGTCTCATTTGACTGGAATGGCTTCAACAGTGGTCCTTCCTGCTGTATAGGGATAGGCAAAGTGATCTATCAAGGAATTTTTTTCAACTCTATAAATCTGTTCTCCTGACTGCTTTTAATTTTGCAATAGTTCTATATTGTTTTACCCAAGTGCATTAAGTTAGCACATCTAGTGTTCTCAGAAGGACTAGGTTTAAAGTAAATAGGCAAAGGATGTGTGTGTAAACGGAGCCCTGTGCCCTGTGGCCATTAGTGACCCTGTGACAGCGAATGACCTTAAGCTAACAAGCTGATGGCAGTAATAAGTGTTACCATTTCCTGAACATCTACCACGTGCTGGTTCTGTATAAGGTGTGTTACATAGGCTGTTTTTTATATCAGTGATTTGTAACTCTAACCATAGGGTAGATTTCATTATCTCTATACATGCTGAAACTAAGCCTTAAAAACAATGCTAAATAATTTGTACAAAATTCACATATCCAATATGTAGCAGAATAAGGATTTAAACTTAAGTATGCCTGGCTTCCGAGTTGGTATTTTTTTCACTTGATACTATCCATTAAAATCGATGTATGTATCACTATCTAAGATACACATTCTCTTGTTTGTTTCTGCAAAAAGAAGCTTTATTATTTATACTTAGTCTGCAGCCTGGGAGAGAGTTTGTGGTCAGTTAAGAAGCTGCCTTTGGGCTGGAGGCAGAGACTCAGGCGGAAGTCCAGAGGCCAGGGAGCTGCCCTGGGAGGCTTCTAGTCATGCTTAAGGTGAGCCTTTCCAAGAGACCTCACTCAGCCCTGCCTGGGGCCGGACTGAGAAGGTTGGTCAGGTGGTTGTCCTTAATGGGTCTCACCTCCTTGTCCAGGAAGTGTTTCTCTAGGAAGTCACAGACATGGGAGTCTGTGTGGACAGAATCCAGGGCATGCAGAATCAGTAGGATCTGGTTCATGGTTTCCTCCGGGGCCAGGGCAGCTTCCTTGGCAGCTAGCGTGTGACCCTGCTCATCTTGAGGCAGCTTCGGTATGTCCTGGAAGAGGATTCAGCTGCAGTACTGCTTTTGTATTGTCCAGACGTGCTTGGCACCCTTGCAAGAAGTGCTCCCTGCCTTCCCGGGCCACACTTTTGCAGTTGTTATAGAAGTCCAAAGAGAGATAGGTATAGGAAGCCCACAGATACAGGTAGACCGGGGTAGGGGGGTGATGGCAGCCTTGACCTTGGTAGAATAATCTGATGGATCTGGGAGCTCATGGTTGATTGGAGATAAGGAGCTAACCACAAAAAATGATGATTACTGGTCTAAGAAGCAAGGGATGGGCAAGGAGATGGTCCTGGAGCCTGCAGCTAGAGAGGAGGTTGGAGGGTGATCAGAGGCTGGAGTGGGAGTAAGTCCTCGGGTCTGTTTCATCCAACATTGTTGAGGCAAGAGACAGATCCAAGGACTGCCCAGTGGCTGTCCATTCTTTTGGTTAAAAAAAGCCAATATCATGAACAAATACTAATTTGATGGTATTTTAGATGAAAAAAACTCTCAAAAATACTTTTTCCAATTGAAAGATGAAATACTCAAAAGATTAAAACACATATAGGGTACTGCATTGTATATTCTTTTTTTGTGTGTGTGTGAGGAAGATCAGCACTGAGCTAACATCTGCCAATCCTCCTCTTTTTGCTGAGGAAGACTGGCCCTGGGCTAACATCCATGCCCATCTTCCTCCACTTTATATGGGACACCTGCCACATCATAGCCTGACAAGGGGTGTGTCGGTGCGCGCCTGGGATCCGAACCAGCGAACCTCAGGCTGCCGCAGCGGAGTGCGCGCACTTAACCACTTGCGCCACCGGGGCTGCCCAGCATTGTATATTCTTAGTGTATCGTCGTACCTGAAGTGGAATGGAAAGAATACCTTCACATCATTTTTTCTCAGTATACTGTATTGGTCCCAGAATTTTTAGCTACTGAAGAATGGAATTGATGCTAATGAAATATCAATATGTACTGCTTAATTTAGTGACTGAATGTGTGGTGTACATTCCCAAAAGAATAGTGAGGATGTCAACATACTGCTTTTCATGTGTGTGTATATATATGTATGTGTGTGTACATATATGTATATGTGTGTATATGTGTGTATATATAAATGATTAGCTACATTCCAAGTGGTTTGTCTACATTCCATGACGTGTAAAATCCATCGATCAGAGATGCCTCGTTTAATGTTGTGCTTCTTATGCAAGAGAGTCATGGAGTCCCATGTACTCAGGATGTGCAGTCTTCCAAAAGTTACCCCACTGGGTGCTGATAGATGAGAAGGAGGCATGTTTCAATGAGCCAGCAGTCGTCCTGGCACATATTAACTGTTTGGCTGATCTCCCTTGGAAGTTGGGATAATTCTAGGGTAGCCATTGTTGCCTCAGGGATGTTGTCCAAACAAGGGCTGGGTCCAGAGAGATAAGATGGTCAATGTGTTTTTAGATTCATAAGGGGAAAATACCATGACATTCTGATGTATGACACAACCATTTCTTCCTTACTGCTCTTCTCAGCAGCCCCATAATCTAAATGTATTTTTGTTTAGATATTTGAGTTTAGTAGTAGAAAGTCTAGAATAGTAGTATTTGATGCAGTGCTAGATATGGGTAAGGATTTGTAGCATTTAAAAAACCTTGTAAAATCTGTACAAAAAATATGATCAACATTTGGCCATGGTGGTTTTAATAGTCAGTCTCAAAATTGAATTTGACCATGGGACTGAGATTTGGCCTCTTAACCATATGTTATTGCTTTACTCCAGAACAGATTTTAGTAATGAGCTATTGTCAGAAATATTTTCATTTATTTCCTTCTTTTTTTGCACAGCACAGCATTTCTAA